CAGTACAATTTCACATTTGTACTATTTTTTTTTCCACTTTTCAGTTCTCCAAAGCGAACCTGAGTCAGCTAATTTGCAGAGACGGTCAATAGATGGCCTTATTTTTAGCGTCTATTTTGCCGGGAGAGGTTACCTTTATTTTCATGATCAATTTCCTCCCAGCATAACTCACATCTATATTTGTGCGTATATTTGACCTAACCACTGTACCAGCTCTTTGGCAGATTGCGAAGATTTCATTTGATTCTTTGTTGTGGATCTCATGGAATAAAGTCCACCCTGGCTCACGAGGGCCATTATCCCAAAACCATCGTCTTTAGGTGGACGTTTCTCAGTTTGCCAAAGCTGGTATTGTGGCTTTGTCACCGACCTGAGGCCGCTAGTTTATGGAGATGGTCAGCAGAAGACTTCTAGCTTTAACGGAAGAGGAGATCTTTATTTGTACATATATAAAAATCCTAGTATATTACATATTGTCACTGAATAATTATTTACTCTGTTGTATATCATAATTAATATTTGCATAGTCATCACCCCTTACCATGCTTGTAAATTACCACTTGAAAAATCCTTTGACACATTTTGCAATATATAAGTTTAATTAATTAATAAATTATTTTTAATAAATATTTTGGAATACTTATCTTCTCTACCGTGACAATATAATGATTCTTAATTACAACTTTGAAATGAAGATTTATTTTTTAAAATAAAATATAGATAGATAAAAAAATACACATTAATGTTTTTTTTTTTTTTCTTATCCCTAGTACACGTGGTACAGGCCATGATAATCATGGTGGATAGTTAGCGACTGCTTTTTACTGTAAGCGCACCACATGTCTACACATGTGAAAAGCAGTTCGACTTTGCACTTACAAATGCCAGAGCCCCGTTTGGTTACTTGCACTCGCTGGTGGGGGTTGGACTTTTGCAAGAATCGGGGGCCATTGGAGCATTTTTTTTTTTTTTTAAACAGAAAAAAGTGTCCAATGCGGGAATCGAACCCGGGTCTTAGTGGTCGAAAACCAAACGATTTGTTAAAATCTTAAATACCTATTTTTTCTCCAACCCACGTCTTTATAATTTAAAAATAACCTTTTTTGAATCGGTATATAACTACTGAGCTTAAAAAAACCTTGAAGATTGTATACATTTTTTTAATGTTGATATACCTGAACAGAACATTAAATGGCTAATAAACATGAAGATGATTGGTTGTTTATGATCACGTGATTGTATTGAACCAATTAGGGCCATTGGAATGAAACCAATAACCAAATAAATTATATGTTGGCGATATGGAAAATAAACAGGCGCAGCAGCTGAAACAAGTCGGTGGATGAGAGGGTAACACCCTCGATTCCCGACAGTCATGAACCGGGATTGTATCCCGCGTTAAAATTTTGTTTAATATGTGAATAACCTTCATATATTATTCACTGTTTCAATTATCATGAACTAGGTTGCTCTTGTTGAGCGGTACCTATAAATGTGATTTTGAACCGAACATCTGAAAGGTTTCACTACTGATGAGCCAGGCCCTCCCAATATACGATTATTATAGGTAGGAGATTATTTGTGTAATGTTGTATCAATACCATCCGCTTAAAACGTTCAATTATTTTTTATTATCCCTAGTATACGTGACACAGGTCATGATAATCATGGTCTACATAAGCGCAGTTCGACTTTGATACACTTATAAATGTGCCAGAGAGCCCCGTTTGGTTACTTTTACTTACTGGTAGGGTTGGACTTTTGCAAGAATCAGGGTCATTAGAGCTATTTTTATTATTTGCAACAATTTATATGCAATGTGTTTCTTTTTTAACGATATCATCAAATATTATCCTTACAGACTTTATTGCAATGATAAAAGTTATTGAATGAGAGGGCTTGGCTCATAAGCGGTGAATCCTTTAAGCGGTTTCACCAAATTAATCTCCATACCGCTCTCTACTAGTGTATTGCATTTGTTTTGTTATATACAATACAGCGTAACCGTTTAGAGATTTCACCACTGATAATCCCTCTTATTCAATAACTTATATCATTGCAGTAAGGTCTGTAGAGATAATATTTGATGATATTATTAAAAAAGAAACACATTGCTAGTATAAATTTAATTGTTACAAATTTTATTGGTATTGAGGAACAAACCTCAAGACATCTACTGATCGAATGCCCAGCATTTCAAGATTGTAGAATGAAGAATGAACTAGTTGTTTGTGAACTTAACGATTTGATTTCCGATAAGAAATCATATTCAAAGTTCAATTCATTTTGTAAATACATTCTAAACTTTCTACAAAATCTGGATCTCCAATGTTTTCATGTGTTGAATAATGTAAATAAACTTTTCTCCTTGTTTGGCGCAAGTATCCCTTGCGGGATATAGCGCTTTGGAAATAAAATAATTGTAATTGATAGATGGAAATGTAATTTATATAAAAAGGTATTCTTATTATTATTAAGAGAAAAAAGTTCCCAAAGAGGGATTCGATCCCGAGTCATGGCCGTTGAAAATAAACGGTTTCTACCACACGTCTACTTGTGTTACATTTAGAAGGAAGAAATTGTCATCAAAAACTTGACATTAATATACAAAATATAGGTCAGATGACTAAAAAACTCAATTGTATCCGCATTTAACTGCTTCTATACGTTTTGCATACAAAATATATTCATTTATTACACGCCATAAGAAGTTAATTTGATTTTTAATATTCCATGTTTCTTTTTTTATTTTTCAACTTATTCTGTGGTGTAAAACTTTCTATTTACGGTTTTTAAAATATTTATTATATTTTTATTCATTTTACAGAATGTTTTTTTTTTTCGGTTATCATTCCCTGGTATACGTGGTATAGGACATGATTAATAGGGTGGGTAGTAGTTAGTGACTGTCTTCCTCCCGCCCTCTATTTAATGTTTAAGAAGAGCGATTGCTCGAAGCATTCTATATACAGTTACGAGCGTCATTCTTCATCAGTCATCTCTGTCACCGTTTGCTTTTTTTTTTGGAATGGCGCCCTCCTATTGGTTGGCTACGGTCACGCCACCTTTGCCCCCCCCCCCCCCCCCCCCACTCGCCATTTCATCTTTGTAACTATTGTGTTGGAGCGGGTCGCTCCCTAAATAAATGCATATATTAGATAATAACCAAATGGAATCCTCTCT